CAACTGTTGCTATAATGACAAAGAATTTCCCAAGAGATAATGCGCGTGATGATAGAAATTCTCATACAACTATGCGTACTGAGTCTGATGAACCTTATATTTCTTTTATGGACTGTCCGTTCTCTACTTCAGAAGTTAACAGTGTTATTAAAAATCTCAAGAAGAACAAATCACCTGGGCTTGACTCTCTTTCTAATGAAATTGTACAGCACTTTCATGCGGTGGATAGCACATTTTTACACAGACTTTTCAACCTTTGTTTACAATTAGCAGTTTTTCCAGCACAATGGAAGAGGGCGGGGGTTGTTTTAATTCCTAAAACTTTAGATACAAGAACCCCTTATCTTGATAATATTAAATGCATTAGTCTTTTGCGTACTTTGGGAAAATGTCTTGAAACTCTCTTCATTAACAGAAGAAATTGGTATTTGAGACAAAAATGCTTTTATAATGATTCTCAGTTCGGATTTACTCCTCGGAAGTCCGCTGAAGATGCCATTATTCGCCTTTGTAATATCTTGCAGTGTGCAAAGAAAATGAAGTATACTACACTTCTCATTTTCCTGGATTTCAAAGGAGCTTTTGATAATGCTTGGTGGCCATCTATCTTAAAAATTTTAAAAGATGCTGGTATACCTCATAATATCTATAACCTTCTTAAAAGCTTCTTGAACGAGAGGACCGCTGAGCTTGAATTTGGGAACGAAGGTAAGGTTTATTCTCTAGAAAAAGGGCTGTCCACAAGGCTCTGTATCCGGACCTACTCTTTGGAACATAATAATAAATGATCTTTTAAGTCATCTCGACGGTTGTTTAAAAATTGTTTTTGCAGACGACTTACTATTAATTTTCCAAGGAAGGATTTTAAATAACATTTTTTTGAGAGCACAAGAAGTTCTAGAATTAGTCTCCAGTTTGGCGATTTCTCATAAACTCACTTTCAGTCCCTCAAAAAGTAAAGGTATGCTTGTTCCCAGTACGTTTGATGAACAAAATATTGCTCCTTTGATGCTGGATAATTCTCCGTTGGAATTTGTAGAAAATGTTAAGTATCTTGGTGTCATTCTTGACCAAAAATTAACATGGAAAAAGCACACTGAATTCCTTTCTGCTAAATGTGAAAAAATTATTAATGGAATCGCCAAGAATACTGTTGGAGTAAGCTACGATGTTAAGAAACTCATAAGCAGTGTATTATACCTTTCATTTCGTACGGCTGTCGTGCTTGGGGACATTGTTCTTGCCAAGAAAGTTAACAAAAGAAATTTAAGAAAGATTCAACGCAGAATTCTTCTTCGTATTATTAGTGGTTATAGAACCTTAAGCTATGAGGCTACTTTTGTTCTTGCAGGAGTTCCGCCTATTGATTTTGAAATTGCATATAAGAATAATATTTTCGAGCCATTAGCAACTGATGCTTTGGAAGACTGTATTAATGGAATTGTCCCCTTCACTGATCTTCCTCATCCCGCTACTTTAGAACCCATAAATTTCTGCGTTATAAAGAGACTGCTGAAATAAGTTTTCATATGGTTTTCTTTGCAGATGGCAGCAAGATGAACAACAAGGTTGGCCTTGCATTTGTTCTTTTTGAAGGCCATTCCGAGGTTTGTTTTTTTAGACACCGTATACGAAATGAATGCACAGTTTTTCAAGCAGAACTTCTGTGCATTTATCTTGGCGTCAAGTGGACCCAGGATAATGGAACAACATCCTCAAAGTACCTTATTTGTTCTGATTCTCTTTCTTCTCTTCAACTTTTGATCAGTATTAAAAGCTGCGATAAATTAGTTATCGAAACCCTAGTAACTGTTAGTTTACTCAAAATTAGAGGTATTGATATCTGCTTTGCTTATGTGCGTGCTCATCATGGTTTCTATGGAAATGAAAGAGCTAATTTCTTAGCTAAAGATGCCTTAAATTTACCCATTGATATTAACATTAGCATTCCAAAGAGTTATTGGAAGCCCTTTCATTATAAAAAGCTTTTAGCTATGTGGAATGAGGGATGCATTTCGTCTTGTAATGCTGAAGTCACCAAAAAGTTCCTTCCTTCTATTTACCATAGACTGAATTCCGAGTCTTTCCTCTCGTATAAATTTTAAATTTGTCTCAGTTTTTTATCTGGTCACGGTAAATTTGCAAGTTACCTGTTTCGTTTTTAATCTAACGATCAAACAATTTATGTGAATGTTCAAAAAGAGTTCCTCAGGATGTGAAACATTTGATTTTCTCATGCCCTACATTTGATGGCCCTAGATTATGCTTACAGAACGATTTGAAAATGTTCGGTGTGACTTGGCCAGTGAACTTATCTGTTTTCGTGAAGTCCAGACTGCTGTTCTCTGCTTTTGTTCGCTTTATTTATGCATGTAACTTTTAATGTTTATTTATGCATGTAACTTTTAATGTTTTAGATAACTTACTTCTGTAAGCCCCGTGTTGTACATATGTGGTGCACGGGGAGTCTGTATGTTTTCAAAGGAAAAAAAATACTTTACAGTTATTTATTTAATTATTGCTCCTCAGAATTTTATGGTGTACGTTTTTCTTCATTTTCTAGTGCTTTAACGCTTTTTCTTTAAAAAGGCTTCTCTGTCGCTACGCCTTTTTCTTCTTGAAGGGAGGAATATATAAGAATAAAATAAAGAATATGTAAAAGATTAAATTAACAAAGTAAATTTCCTTTTTAATTCTAAAAATAGTAAGCTATCTCTGCACTGTGTCATTTCTAGATTAATCCATGTCATATGATTCCTTCGTAACTCTGATGATGTAAATGGATTTAAAACTCAAGCAACCATTAATAATTTTATAGCAATATTATCTATTCAAACAAAGTGCATTGAGAACCAAAACTAACTCGATCTGAATTAAGATTTCTCCCTGAACATAACGCACTTGCTTTCTACGCATGGGCCTAGCTGTCTGTTCCTGCTTTTTTACTGTAAATTTATTTAAAATGTAAGGTTTTTGGAATAAACACAATTAGTGTGAACTTGTTCGTGGCCGCAACATGTTTACTGAAATAAAAAATGAATATTTAATCTGCGTTCGCCTCCAAATTCCTATTCATTATGGATCAACACTTCTACGCCATCAAAATTTTAGCTAGTCATTACTTCTAAGTTTGTTTTATTATATATATATATGTGTGTGTAGTATTAGCACAGCATATTTGAAGCATTGAAATGTAAGAACACTGTGAGGTAGATGCGCAGAAATGTCGATAACGTGGATACTTGATGCTTAGAACGTCCATCTATTTTCAAGAAGCAGTCGTGCCGGATTAAATTCCTTATTTATTTAGATTCGCATTTTGTGGCCACAATTCACTTAACACTCCAATCGTGCCCACTTCCAGAACATTCACAATTTTAATACTATACCGGTAGAAGCTATCATAGCAGCATATAGATGATTGCAGCAAAGCGTCTTAACAGAATGAAAGCTTAAGTGAAAAGAGAGTGTCCCAGTACTTCAGAGGAAGAAGGGAGGAAATTAAGTTTCAGTTCGAGTTAATTTTCGTTTACAATTATTTTGATTGGGCAAGAGATATCTGCAGTAAGCGTTACGTAAGATCGCATGATTAATTTGAATGACGCAGACTAATGACGCTATTTCTAAGACAGAGAGAGGAAGTTCCCAAATGAAATAAATAAAAGAAGTTCTGGTGAATTAGATTTAGAAGTTCGCTTTCATAGTTTTTATCTTACATGTATATATAATTTTACAAATGAGAGAATATTAATACAGTATGTAACTAAATACCTAATATAATCAACAATATATATTGGGTTTTGTTAAATTTTAAATGGCGAACAATTATCATAATCTTATCTGAGACATGATAATTTCAATTATTTCCACAACCAAGATTCATTTACTGTAATCATAAATCTATATTTTATAATGATAACTTTCTTATATTCAGATACAAATGAAGGTATCCACTAAGGTGTACAAATGAGATGCTGCTTTTCGCAATTTTCCTCTATATTTGATTCCGCAAATTATGCAAAAACCAGAATAATCTTCAAAATGGATTGAGATTTTTGATGAAAGCTGGAGTAAATATGATTTATATTATGATTTTTAAAAAGGCATTAAAATATTGTACTCGGAAATATTTTCCTATCGAACGTTGTTATTTCAAATGATCGACATTTGAAACTTAATATATTCTTCATCAATGGCCAAGACCGTTCGGCTAGGTTAGGTTAGGTTATTTAAATACGGCAAATGCTCGAGGACTATCTGCCTAAAGGGAGGGATGCCTTCGTGGAGGACTTTCTAAGGGAAACTGGCTCGTATACACGTTACACATCCAAAACCGTCCGGCTATTTTGCTAAATAATTACCGACAGATTCCAAAAGTCCGCGGTTCGATTTCCGGCGAAGGCGTTGCTAATTTTTCATCTCTCCTGCTTCCAATTAACCTAATGTCTCTACATTGGCGCCCGAACTAAAAGGATGTTGGATGATCATTCTCTCCACCTAGGATTTGGCGATTGGGTCCCCTAAAAACCCCAGTCGCTCTTTAAAAAGGGGAGTATATAAGTATTTCTCTCATCTTCTTGGCGTGCTTTCGTGGTGTATTGGTGTATACGCTGGACGTGTATTACAGAAATCCGCGTATCGATTCCCGGCGAAGGCGTTGTTAATTTTTCATCTTGCCTGCTTCCAAAAAATACCTAATGCCTCTACAACATTTGTATTTAATGCTGCTATTTTATTCTTTATACCGATGTAACTGACTGGTTTTCTTTCGATATACTTATTTAACATTCCTTCACTCGCCACAGATCAAATCTGATAAAGATGGCGTATGTGTATATGAATTATCCCGGATTTTGATTGTTCTTTAGTTAATGGTAACCAGTATATATGTGACCAGTATACTGTGCAATTTATAATTATATAATTTATTTTCGAATATGTATAATTTTATTACAGCATTTAATTAAGTTTTGAAACTGTGCTTTAATTTTGTTAATTAGATTTTCAGGCATGGTCACAGAGCTCCATTTAACCTGTATCCGAACGATAACCATCCTGAATCTTTTTGGAAAGAAGGATTAGGAATGCTTACTCAGGTAGGTTACAATGACACTTTTGCTTGATGAAAAATATTCTAAGGTATTCTAAGGTCGCACATTTAATTTTCATATTTAAAATGCAAGCAACACATTTCAGAGGCTTGATTTTTCATGCACATGGCTTCGAAAATTTTTAAATTACTTTTACGAAAGAAAAGAGGCAAAAGAATGCAGAAATAATTCTATAATCTTATTCTCTATTGTTCTAGAACAATTCTAATTTTCCTTGCAATGTCACTATCCCCATGTTACGCAATCATGTGTGTAATGATTTATTAGAAAAATTAAGTGATTTAGTGAGATAAGAACACTGCGCAAAATTGTTTTATCATGCTCTAAACACCAATAACTGACAATTTTCATCAGCATCGTATTTAAAGCTTATATCGATGAGGCCTTTTCAGTGAATTTTTAAACACAAAACATTCATTTGGAATAAAATCTGCCGGGCATGGAAGGTGAGGTAGAACATGGAATTATGTGGAAATTACAGCAACCGTTGCTATAGCAAAAATACATGATATTGCACTGCCATGGTGGTACGGCAATTTTTGCGCTTCGTTTACTTTAAATTTGAAGAAAAATTAACTATTTAACTCTTCGAAATACTTCAGTGATTACCTTTCAATGTTAGTGGTAATCAATCTTCAACATTCTTTTGACATCCCCGGAAACTCTGGCTGTAACCTTGGCTCACAATGCTGACACTGAGGTTGTTCTGATCAGGAAAACGGGCATGTTTCCAGATCACAGACTTGTGTTTCGTATTTGTTTTAAGAGGTATTTTCTTTCTCCTTTCTTCATGCCTTCGTAGTGTAACTGGTAGCAAGCTTGACGTGTATTCGAGAACTTCGCAGTTCGATTCCCGGCCAGGGCATTGCGGATTTTTCAGCTTCCTGGGATCAAAAACATTTTACGAAATTCTTCAGTGGCGACCGAATTAATAATGTGGTGGACGTTAATTCCTTACCACCAGGAGTTGGCGACTTTGTTCCTTCATCCCTGTCACCCTTTAAAAGGGGCAGTATATAAGGTATTTTCTACCTCTTTTCCACATGCTTTCATGGTGTAACTAGAAGGACACTCGACGCGTATTTGGGAGGTGCGGAGTTCGAGCCAATATCGAGTGGGTATTGCTGATGTAAAAATAAGCATGAAATAAAAGGTATTATGAAGTTTTATAATTAAAAAACCACTCTGCATTTTAACCTGACTCAAATATGCATCAGACTGTACTCTACAGTGAAGTCTAATCATAAATGCATAGTGATGCATATATGAATCAAACAGAAAAATAGAAATCTTTCATTTTAAAACAATTCTGTGGTTAAATCTTAACATAGAAATTAAAAGTACATACCTTCAGCTATATAGAGTAAAATTTTTAAGCTTCTAATATCGAATTTATGAATAAGACAGAGCTAGTTTGACCACTCAAAAAACAGAAATGAATTCTGTGTTCTTGGCACTAATGAAATAAAGAATACAGGTTTTTGCTGCCATCTACTGAGGAGAAGACTAGCTAAACATTGATATGGATATATTAAAATAAAAATCGGTCCAGTAAACCACCTTTGTAATTTGTTTAACGCTAAATTCAGTAGAAATTGGTATGATTCATATATGCATCACCATGCAATAAAGGGTTAAGCTCTACAAAACAAATGAACAGAGTATGTCAACCTATATGTGAGGAAACAAACAGGTGATTTACATGGCTAGTATGAATTGCTGCGTTATGTCAGTAGAGTCTATTCTTTTAGGTCAGTAGGTAGTTCGCTACAATTCCATGCGATACTTCATATAAATCCTGTTAGTTTTCTGCTGTAATTTTAGTTTTTAACAGCCGTATTCCATGTCAAGGTTCCATGCCCCTCACGTTGGAGAGAATAGGGGCTGCTGGTCACGTCGTTAACCAAGACGACGTACATATGGATAGGCAAATCGGGAGGACACAGAATCTTCACACAGTATATTGATTTCTACCAGGGGATTATATACGAGTATATTAATGATCTTTCTACCTGTTCAGCACTGCGCAGACGCGAGATGGAATGCAGATTTCTCAGCAGTGGTAAATAGCGTAAAACTGCAGCTTTTCTAACGATTTGAAACTCCTCAAATAATAAAAAAAGGCCTTTTTTTCACAAGCAAAAATATTGGGTTTCATTTCCCATGAGGCTGAACTTCACTTTTTGAGGTCTTGGTTTAATCCTTCGATAGGATTCCAAAACGTTCACTTCCATGCTGACCTGATGACTAAACCAGTAATTTCAAGCTCCAAACGTTTTGAGACAATTGATTGCGACTTTAGACCACGTGCTTCCTGATGCGATCCAGGTATACTAACGGCAGCAGAAATAATTGTGATTTTCCTGGCAATTGTGTGCAAATTAGGACTTTTAATGACTCATGTAAAGATTAAAAGTGCTGACTTCAAGTAAGAACCAAATGTAAGCGACAGAAATCTGTGCTTCATCCATTTTTCAAAAGGATTCACAGATTTATGGAACTTGATCGACAACTCTGATTGCGTACAGTACTTTCTTCTTAGACGCCTGCAGTGGACAACTTGGCATCTTAGTTTTGAATCTCGTTTCTCGGCTGTTTGAGCACCATAAGCTTGCCTTGTGAAGTCTTATCTATTTATTTAGGACTTCTTATGACTAACTTAATTTAAAGATTAAAACTGCTGACTTCAGGTCAGAAACTAATGTAATCGATAACATCACACATCCATTTTTCAAAAGGATTTACACAATTATGGAATTTGATCGACAAGTTTCATTGCATACAGTACTTTCTTGTTGGACAGTGTTAGCATCTTAGTCTTGAATCTCGTTTCTCGGCTGTCGAAGTACCATAATGCACACTGCCAAAAAAAAAAAACGTGTAGCTCTATATCTCCCGTTCTACTGGGCCGATTGACGAAATTCAAATTGCGTTTTTCACGTCTCCGAAAGCGCGACTTAGGATATATATTAGAATTATATATCGCATTGTATTAATATTGGCATTCTGACACAAAATCGGACTTTTTCTGAAATAACATGCCAATTATTAATATACTTCGATTCTACGACTCAGATTATGCCTAAATATTAAGTTTTGTAGAATTTGATGCGAAATTTACGGAGACATTAAAAAATTTAATTTGGCGCATTTTTTTCAGTGTGCGCTAAAATAATTTACTTGATGAACATGTTAATTTATAGCAACCTATTTTCCTTTTCTTTTTTTCATTGTAAAGAAGCGGAAAAAATATCACCTTTCATACTTTTAAATAATTTTAACAAAGTGCGTAAACCACGTGTGGCGTAGCTATCGCTCAAAAAAAAAAAAAAAAAAAAAAGATGCCAAATTTCAAAACTCGCCAATATGCAAATTCATATGTATCTTAGAAAATTTCGAATAAAAAACTCTAATTTCTTGCAGGTGTGCCTAGAAATACATCTACTTTAAGAACATGTTAAAAATTTTATAGGATAAATTCGAAAATTTATAAAAAATATTTAAAAATACAAATTTTAAAAATAAATCAAAAGAAAAAATGTGCGAACTATACTTAGATTAAGCCTAAATTTCGAATTTTGGAAGAAAGAATCAAGTACAATAAAAAGAGATATATTAATAAATATACATCAAATTCATTTAACACTGAGGAGCTAAAATTTTAAGAGCTAATCTTTTAAAAACTACTCATGCAATTTTCACAAAACTTGGCACTTTGGCATAATTTGAGTCGTAGAATCGGAATCTGAAAAAAACATTGGCAACTAATTTCAGAAAAGTCCGATTTTGTGTCAGAATACCTTATATTAGAACTATGCTATATACAAATCTAATACATATCCTAAGTCACGCTTTCGAGACATGAAAAACTCAAGTAAAATTTCGTCAATCGGCCCAGTAGAACAGGAGACATCAAATTGTCCCTTTTTTTTTTTTTTTTTTTTTTTTTTTTCGCACTGTACATATCTAGTGGATTCCTTGACATGTTGGTCTGAGGGGCAGTGAGATTGTTGCTTTTCTTAAAAAAGAATTTGACAATACTTGATAACATATACAAAACTCTCTTCCCATCAGAGGTTTGCAGATAAGTAGTTTGTAGATTACTTCTCCCAATCATTCTTGCCATCTTAGAACAACTCCAGGAAGAGTTCTGCTGTTGGAAAGTGCCAAAAGATAGCTTTTTCTCTCTTTTTCAGCAGGCATATTAATTAAATCACAAAGTTACAAGGTTTTCCGAACTTGTAACAAGTACAAAGTTGAACAGGCCACTTCAACACATTTTATTTTTCCTCGTTTTTGCTCTAACCGAAGGTATGACAAGGCAAATCCCATGCAGTTTTTGATGTTTTTAAGAGGTTGTAGACTCAGTGTAGCCCTGCTAAATTACCTAGGATTAAAACAAAAACAACTATCATTACCTCTAAAGCTAATGTGGATGAGTGACAATAATATCGATCATCTTCAGAGGAAGTTCTGTAGCAAACAGGAGGACATGGGCACCAAATGCTGCTGCCCATGGGGCAAACTTTTATATTACCTTTTCCTGTCTCTTATTGTCCAACATTGACTTTTATTATCTTTATATGTATGCCAAAGTCTTAAGAATATCTTGTGTTGACTTGCGCTTGAAATACAAAACGTTTATAGACTCAGTCTAGCCCTGCTAAATTACCTAGGATTAGAGAAAAAAAAAAAAAAAACAACTATCATTACATTTAAGGCTAATGTGGATAAGTTATCAGCTTCAATGTTCCGTCTTACTTTCTTCGGGAACATGCAAGGACCTGACTCGGAACAGAGAGCTTACTAAAGCTATGTTCAATCACTGTGGGAAGTAGACAGGATACACAAGAAGGCTATACAAAACCCTTTATTTTTCTCTATTTACAATAACTTCCGTACTTCGGAATACACAGACCCACTACTTGGGGTCTAAACGTAAAATATAAAAATAAACTAAACTCTAATTTAACTTTAAATAATAA